ATCATGACTCTCAAAATACAACTTTTTAACAGCAAAGTATAAAACTGTACATCAACAAACATATCCAGTGTGCAATGTGAAAAAAAGATAAAGAAACCATGTGAACTTTACAGTTTTTTCTTTTTACATTTTTTTTATCATTAGTTTGAGAGCATTTCCCTTTGTATAAAACATAAATTTAGCACATCTACATATCCGATAGAAAAATTAATCAAACACACCACAAAAAAGCACTGTTTTTTTTTTTTTTCATTTAAGTAATTTCAACAGGTTTAAAGCTCCCTTGAACGAGCCATTCAGAGCACGCAGTTGTCCCATCTGGGGGGTTACCTCAACACACATTAACCTTTCAATCAGAAACTTTGCTCATGTATAGTGCTGACTCCCAACATTTAAACTTAACATTTGTTTTCAAAATACGATAAAAGTGTAATACCATCTCTTTAAATCTCAACCGATCCTCACAAAATGTTCAACCTCGAGTGAGTTTAATGTTAACAGACTGTCCTGAAATGTAGGAACCCCTCCTCTCTTGCAATTAGACGTGTTTGGGCAGACGAGATATACATACATACATATATATATATATATATATATATATATACATATATATGTATATGTATATGTACGGTATATATACATATGTATGTATATGTATATATATATACACATATGTATATATATGTGTGTGTGTGTGTGTGTATATATACACAAATGAAGCGAGACATTCACACAAATTAAGCAAATTAGTTGTTTTGTTCATGTTTTGCGTAAAAGCAGCTTAATATGCAGCTGATGAATCGGATGGATATCCAGATTGTGGCAATGTTACTGACATTTTTTTAAAATTATTTACCACTTTAATTTTGTTCCTCTCACAGCTTTATTCTCATGAAAATGTTTTTTAACCTTGTCTTCTAATCCTTGCAGTCTCAAAGGTGTGTCTTCAATCTGTCTATTGTTCCTTTGTTGTATTTTTTCTGATTACACCTATCCCTTCAATTTTATTCATATTAACTGTACAGGTAAGGATGAATTTAAGTGGTGTGGATATTTTCATCCTGTGAGACCGCAGATAAAGCAAATTCTAAAGGTGTGTAAAATCAGTCGTCAGTGCTCTTGTAAGGGAAGGCTGCCTCCCTCTGGACATCAGGTTGAGGGAAAACCTAAACCTTTTACAGATTAAAGTTAGAATAAAAATACAATTACAACAAGACCAAGCAGCAAATCTAGAGACATCCATACTTACAAAACAGCCATTTTGCCATGTCATTATTTAGTCAAATAATAATGACTGTATATGTATATACTGATATGTAAGTAATGATAACAGTGCACTTGTGTAAAAAAAAAAAAAAAAAAAAAAAAAAAATCGATGTAAGTACAAATGCTGTGCTGCCACCAAGTGGAGGTTGGAACCAGCACACTTTCAACTTGTTCCCCTTATCTCACAATCAGCGCCGCCTCTACAGTTCAAGAGTATCCAGGTTTGTTAAAGGGAAACCAAAACTTTTTATCTTTTCATCAGACTCCAAAGAACATCAATGTGAAAAGCAACAAAATAGGAACAATACTCAGTTTTGCATTACAGTTTCCAAACAGGATTTTTGTCGATTGTATAAAGCACCAATCGCCAAATTCTTCCACTTTCTGGTGTTGATCATGTGTTTGTGTTTTCAAAGATTTAACTTTGAATCATAACAACATGTGTTCAAGTTGTCTTTTTATCTTATTAATTTTACCAACAGGATTTCCAGCATAGCACAGATCAAGTGAAGTTTTAGCGTGGTTCCTGTTGAAGTTGGTTCCAGGAGTTGACAGTAGGTAGTATCAATAGGGGATTCCCTTATACAGCATCTTAAAGGCTGGCTGACATTTATTTTCTCCAACTTTATTGTGCTGACTAGATTGAACCCCTTACGCTGGTTTATTTCCATTTCTGCACTGACACTGCCAAGATCATTGACATTTACCCCTCCTTGAAACCAGTAGATGTCTTCAAAGGGGTAAACATCATCAAACCAGCATGAAGCCTGAGTGCTGTTGATTGCGGAGCGGCTGCTTCCCACACAGTCTGCAAAAGTCAGATACATTTTGAGAATTAACATGACACAAGCGAAAAATCTGTCCCTCCAGATTTCTAATGTTTTATCAATATTCATTTATACGTCAACCCGTCTATTTGGAAAATACATTTGCAGAAAAGTCAGGTTATGTGGAGGGGGGAAAATGTCAATATCAAAAGTAAATACTTACCTCGTACGATAACCTCAGTGTCTGACTCGTTTACTCCAGCAGTGGTACGTATTTTGCAAAGATAGTCTCCTTCATTGTCTGGCATCACATTAGTGAGAGTCAATGTGAGTTTGTTGTGGGAAATGAAGTCACATGGAAGGTCTGGCTGAACGCGGCCCTTTTCATATTTACACAAAGTTGCACCTTTGGCCATCCATGAAAATAAATTAATGTCCATCTGGTGTGGTGAGTTTGCTTCACAAGTTAGTGTCACTTTGTTTCCACACTGTGCTGTCACCTCAGAAGGTGTGCGCAGCTCAACAGCATCACTGGCTGTATTAGAAAGAGGGAAACACAAGTTATTGTTAGCATCTAATCAATAAAAAATCACATTGGTATCTGCTAACATACCAACATAATAGGCTGAAAAAGGTTTCGTTTTCAAAGCTGGATGTTTTTGTGCAATCCAAGTATTGTTGAGGGTTGTTTGAAACTAAATTTCTTTTAAACAGTGAAAGATAAAATAATCATGTCAATTAATGCATAAAACAAAGCCTTACCATATATAAAGACTGTCCAAAAGAACCAGATGTTAGAAACCCAACTGGAACCTCTGCCAGTATATTCCATAATGTGAATCTGTACGAGGTCAGTGTCACTCTGTTTGAACGACACAACTGCTTTTCCCAAAGAGCTTCTGCATGAGGTGAAGTTGTCTGTGTATTCACCGAGCTGCTTGTGTTCAGGTAACTGCAGGCAAGAACAATCCTTTTACGGGAATTCTCAGGTCATGAAGTGTCGGTTTTTTTCCCTCAGCGTGACCAGACATGCCGTGAGCAGACACGCCCGGGAATGAGTGAATCCACAGAGAGAAAAAAAAGTTTTTTTTTTTTTTGTCTATCTTCCTAACAGTGTGCACACAAAAAAAGATAACTGAAGATACATTGTCTTATGTTATTGTGTACAGCTCTATGTGGTAAAAGGTAAGGTATTGCATAAATTCGCTCATTTCTAATTTGATGCCTGTAACATGTTAATAAAACGCTGGAAAAGGCAAGACACTAATTTTTGAAGCTTTGGAGGTGAAATTCTTTTCCATTGTTGCTTGATGGGCCATTTAAGTACCTCAACAGTCCCAGGTCTCTGTTGTTGTATTTTCACTTCATAATGCTCCCCACATTTTCAAGAGAGAGAGGTGTGGACTGCAGACAGGCCAGTCTAGCACCCGCACTCTTTTACTCTGAAGCTACGCTGTTGTAACACATGCAGAATGTGTCTTGGCATCGTTTAGCTGAAATAAGCAGGGACATGACCTGAAAAAGATACCTTGGATGGCAGCATATGTTGAGCCAAAACCTGTACCTTTCAAGTTCAACCAAAACTAGATAAGCCTCTATGATTTAAGTTTGTTTTAAGAAGAGATTCAAAAGGGACACCTTACCAAATGATCCTTTTCCCCCTTTAGCTTTCTCTTTGGTTTTAGGCACACACAGTAGCCCTCTGCCTGAGGATCTCAATGTACGTGTCGGCTTGTTATGTACTAGCAGGTCTGATATGTTACTAGGAGACAGGTTCCCCTAAAAGTTTAAATGGACAGAATTTTAGAAACATTGCTGAGATGACATGACTGTACTTGCCTTGCTGTGTGCTACTTGTTTACATTAGATCATTTCCTGCGTTTAAAACATGCCCTTATTGGAGTGAAGTATGGTTTGCTGCAGCAGCTGCTTTGTCTTCCTCTTTTATATTTTGTGGCAGGTGGCAAACATCATTAAGAATCACCAGAACTACCATTACCTATGATCTAACACCATACTTTTCTTGTAATTTTTTAAGCACAATATCATTGTTTATATTATTTTTTTTAAGTTGGTGTATACAATACTGGTATATTAGGACAACCTTTGTTGACATCCTGAGATCACAAGTAAAAATGTGTTTAACATATGGACCTGAATGCTATCACAGTAAAACTGACTTGGCTAAATGATGTAGTGTCAGTTTAAGGCCTTCATACAAAATGACTGAAGTGTTAATGGATCTGATGTTGCATATTTGGTAGTCAGAGCCTCCATCAAAAACAAACAATGGACAGGCTAACATACAGGTGTCAAACTCAAGGCCTGGGGGCCAAATCTGGCCCGTGGAACAATAAAAACTGGCCCACGAGATCATATCATATTTGAATTATTATTGGCCCACCAGTATGAGGTCTGCAGATTTCCTTCAGGATAATAATGTAAACTTTAGCAATTTTTTTAAAAATATCCTTAATAAACCACAAAAATCTGGAAAATTAAAGCATAGAAAAGATTTGATAATTAGTCAAGAATGTAGGGGGAAAATAATTGGTGTTTTATTCATGTTTTGCATCTCAAGATTACAAGTCAAACATGATTTGACTTTTTATGTTGTGCTTTGATTTTTTCAATTCAGTATTTAGATTGATGTCATTTTAATCCTTGAAATTCCAATTTTAAATTTTAAGTCATATATATATATATATAAATATATATATATATATATATATATATATATATATATATATATATATATATATATATATTTTTTTTATGTCAATATACTTACATGTTTTTATTGCTCTAAAACAAACTAGTCAAAGTGTTGCTGTCAAACTTCGGGTTGAACCAAAATGTGATGAGGGAAGTCACGGTTTTCAGTTGAACGTGTGTGTGTGTGTGTGTGTGTGTGTTTTGACGTTGCTGGCTGACTCTGAAGTTGCTGTTTGTCTTTGACTACACGGACATCAACCTCCGAGCTAACGGTCTCCGGTTAGATGTTCATTCAACACTAAGAGAGAGACGGAGAGAGAGACAGCAGTGTGATTTTAGCAAAGATGTCGGAGAAAATTAACTTGTATGAGTTACTAAACTCATCTATCCAGCCTCCTCGGGGGACTGAGGTTAACTTCTCCAGTTTACATGCCCTACTCAGAGCCATACTGGAGCAGCTGGATAACCTGCGGGACACCCTCATCCAGACGGAGGAGGAGGAGGAGGACGGCGTGTCCGAGGTGAGAGAAATGACCTTTTATTGATGTGTTGTTAATTTAGAGAAAAGAAGCATCACTTTTTCTTTGGCTCAGTTATTCTGTGGTGAGATTTTATGAATTATCTTGTGCTGGACCTCGATAAATAGCTTAGTCATTTTTCATTTAAAAATAGACCGTTGCACTCAGTTTTAGCCACTTCCATAGAAACGGTTTTCTCTGTAGCCTCCCGACAGTTAGATAACTGAGCTAATATTACCCACATTATCTCCACCCATGTTAAAGTAAAGTAAGTAAGATTTTTCCCAGAATATAACAACTTAATTATTTTTTTATTTTTAATTTTTTCGGTCAGTTATTACAGTTTGTGAAGTTTTGGCCAATCACAGCCAAGTATTTCTCATGTATTTGTAATTTGTAATTGTTGACCCGCATTGTTCTTTGGATGTTTGACAGCAGGTGTCAGGAAATGAAGCATTGTCAGCCTCAGAGATTAAAGTAAGTATATCTCATAAGTAGTTTCACAGCAACCTCAAAAAGAAACTGCAAAGATATAATCAACACATTTTATTTTTCTTACAAAACTGTAACTGGCAGACTTGATGGGCTATGTATTTTTAACAATAAGCCTTTGTGAAGGGACTGGTTTTCAACATTTAGTTTATGTTGCCTCGATGCCAACCTCCCATGCAGGCCGGTGGCGTCATTGTCCTACCGTGACAAAACCTACCGTAACACCTGTGATTGATGCTGATGAGTAAAAAACAGTTGGAGCAGGACAACATGTCTCACAGCACAATGTTAGCTCTGTATTGTAACTCCCCAGTTGGGTGTTTCTGTAAATATCAAATAACCTTTTTTAAGACTGAAAAACCTCTGAGTCTGAGTCTGAGCCAGCAGCTCTTTTCTTCTTCTGCGTCTTCTCTGGCGGGCAGCAGCAAACATTTCAGCATGGAATTAAGCTGCTGATGACAGAGCAAAGGACAATGGGAGACGGGCACCACCCTGACATCTCAGATGGCCTCTGCGTGCCTCTGTTCAGGTTTCTGCTTCCATCAGTGGGGTGAAAAGAGGTGAAGAGGGTTTTGTTCTTTCCTTTGTCAGAAAAAAAATAATTCTGACAAAGGAAAGAGATTAATCAAGAAAAAGTGTTCAAGGGAATATTCTTCTATTCTAGGACATATTTTTCATATCTTGCTCTTGATCTTGTCCACTCTCTCCTGCTCCCTCAGTTTATGTGATAGGGGGTAATTAGTCCCCTGCAGTGATGACTCTGGTTGTCAGGGGATGAATAGCTCTCAGGTTGAAAACAGGATGCTGGGCAGGTGCAGGCGATGCTGCGCTTGAATCATTCATATCCTATCTGGGCATCATTCAGGTCAGCTGTCATATCTGAGGAGGTGACCTGCTGTGCCCTCGTCGACCTGTGTCTTCCCTCTGATAGCTAAAGAGCTCAGCTACACGTGGGTATACACCACATGTCATTGTTTGGGGTCAGTATACATATCATGATTCACCTATTGGGCTGAGAGGAACTGCTTTTACAGAACACACATTTTCATTTGGATTAACCCTTCATTTCCTGATCTGGGTTGGGTATTTGAAAAAGAGTGTCACAAGTATAGAGCAACAAAATTTGCTTTCCAGTTTGACCCTTCCAAGAAAAACATAAAAGACTGTCACATACAGGGGGCACAGGAGCGGGAAGAACTGACAGATCGCCACAGGGGTGGCGCTCCATTTTCTTAGCTGGGAAAAAAGGAGGACAAGAGGGAAGAGGAGGGAGAAAAAGGCAACTCCAAACTTTCTCCCTTAAGGGGGGCATAGTGTGGGATCAGTATAAAAAACCTCAGCACATAAGCAACATGAGACATTACAACAAAAGTACACAAGAACTTGCACATGTGGGAGAGGGGCTGGTGTCGGGGAGGGAGGGTGTCGTAGCTCAGACTCAGACTCCGCCTCAATCCACACTCCAATGTATTCTATCATGCATTTTGTTGTTGGTTCATAAGTACTTTAAAAATTCTTCATTAAAAAAGGACTATCACTCCAACTGATTTATTAATTACCCAAGAAAATTAAAGATATTTTGTATAATTATCAAATGTTATAGATATGCAAAAATAATTATTTCTAGCAGCCCTCATATCATGTGAACCCTCTTTGTGACCAGCAGTTAGTCATTCAGTACGTCAGTGAGTGAAGCTCTGTGGGGTCGCTCTTCATCCGTTCATGTCCTGGCACGTTTGACACAGGTTAAATATCAACTCATCTACAGCTCTGGAATGTCATTAGTTTTAATCTGTCTCTTTCTCAAACACAAAATGATAATTGAAAAAATGAAATGGAGCGGTTTACTCTGCCAGTGAGGTGTGACTTCCGATTGCTTGATTTCACAGAATGGCTGCATCTGAGCCTTAAGATTCACCACTTGTGTGACTCAATAATGTACAACCTGTCTCTGCTTCCAAACAGGAGCTTCCAAGTTCAGGGCTCACAGATCCAGCCAAACCCTCACACACATCAACAGCTCCTGGTTCCCCACCCAACTCTGGAGAAAATCTTAAGGAGGAGTCAGACGTCCGGTCAGCCACTGAGGACACGTCAGGACCCCAGCAACAGAGTCAGCCGAGAAGAGACCAAACACCTGTTGGTCTTCCTATGTCCCAAAATGCAGAGACAATCTCCCGGAGGAGCTTTAGTAAACTGATGGAAAGGGTCAACAAAATTGAAGCTCTTGTCGTTTTGCTAATGGAGGAAAAAGTGGACCAATCACAATTGAAAGACCTCAGAGAGCTTATCAACAAGAAAGGTTATATGCTTGTTCAAGTCAACATTTAGCTGCTGGTTAAGAATTCAGACCAGAGATGAAACTTTGAACTAATTTTCACCGTTCATAAAAATTTTTTGCTTCTCAGACTATAGCTTTTGATAAGGGTAAAAACAAACATTACTCATGATATTTAACTTATTTCAGATAGAGTCTGAGTTTTCCCCTGTCTCACAGTAATTGTTTGATCTCCAATTGTCTATTTGGTTTCAGCTGATGCATCAAAAGATCAGTCAGATCAGCTGAACCAGCGAGGAGCTCTGACAGACTTTCTGATGAGTGACTGGAAAGAGGTGGGTGAGAAAACTGAAAAACTATCCCTCATTGTTAACCTGAATTTAGCAGCAACACTGACTCCACAGTCTAGTTCTGACGTTATTACATGTCTTTCCAAAGCTGGAAGCTTTGGAGGAGATAATTATGAACCCAGCTAGCACAGAGACAGCTTCAGGGAGTGTGGATCCAGATGGAAAAGTCTATTGTGAGCTCAAACAGAAAATGTCCTTCGTCAGGTAAATAGAGAGAGTATTATTTGAGTTATATATTAGTAAGATATTAGTTTTTTCCACATTCACTTGTGTAGCTTTTAGCCTTATCCTGTTGTAATTGTTGTGATCACAGTTGATGTTTTGATTTTTTGGTGCGTAGAAGGTTTTTGCAGAAGCTGGAAGACAACATGAAGCAGCTGGAGCCTGATCAGGTTTTAACTGAGGAGAGCACAGCAGACGAAAACCTTCAGGATCAGGTCAGACAGGGAGACATGTTTGTGAGGGTCAGGCAGCACACCAGGGTTAACAGGAATCATTTAAAGGAAGGTGGTATTTTCTAAACTCTCAGTTTGTGTCCAGGGCTCTGTAAGCTTTAGAGGCTAAAAAGTTTGGGAATTCATTTTTTCTCTTCTTGCATGGCGGTATGATGGACAGTAAGATCCAGTGTGAAGGGGGTTAATTCACAGTCACTGGAGCTACATATAGCAGGCTCTTTATCCAACACAGTTGAACACAGCCGTGCATCAAGGAAATTTAAAAAACCTACGTCTCAAAAAGACCTGTTAACTGTCTCCATATTGTTTAGCATGTTTCAGAACAAACTCTCAAGGATGAGATGTCCACCCACCCAGCCACCATGCCTCCTTCAGCCCCCTCAGGACCCCAACAACAGAGTTGTCCCAAAATAGGCCAGATCCCCACCAGTGGGCCCGTGTCCACAAACGCCAGCGTCTCAGAGAGCTGCACAGAGATGGCAGTGTCCCAGAGGAGCTTCAGCAAACTGATGGAGAGGTTTGATAAACTGGAAGCACTTGTTGCATCACTAAAAGAAGCTAAGGTGGATCAGTCGCAGATGAAACACCTCCAAGAGCTCATCAACAAGAAAGGTAACCTCAGATGAAGCAGGCGGAGTTTAAGCTCAAACATGAGAGTAATGTTTTATGCCACAAAAAGCAGAGAAAACATTACACAGCGTAATTATTCAGTATCAGACAATTGTTTACCTTAAAGCTCCTGTAAGAAACTTTCATTTTTTGTTGAATTTGGTGCCCCCTGTGGACAAAACAGTCTTTGCTTCTCTTGTCTTCTACACTGTTGGTTGTGTCTTCTGACAATTAATCTAATAATGCTGTTTTTTGAAAAGGAAAACATGGCGCTTACAGTCAATATTTCAAGTTAAAATTGTAAAAACAAGACTTGATTAAAATCTCCTGCTTTGATTTGGTTTCAGGCATTAAAAAATGCAGCACAAAAATCATCAGTCTTGTCAAAGATGATTTTCTTTTCTTTTGTATGTCATGGAAAAAGACATTGATGTAATTTTCAGTCTATTTCAAAAACATCAAAAAACTCCTCACAGGTGCTTTAATTCATGTGAGCTGGATCAGGGCATTTTCTAAAATAGTACTCATTGCTTTATTTTTTAGGAGATTAAAGGTTCTTACACACCGGGAAATTTACAACGCAAAATTACGAAATATTCGGGGGCAAATTTTGACGCGCCTGACTGTACACATTAAGCCCGATGCGATTGTGATTCTCTGACATGAAAACAATCAGCCGGTCGGCCATGTTGGATATACCGGTGAATCAGACGTCGCAACAACACTCAATCTGATTGGTCAGAAGTGGACACACAGTTTGCAAAACTTAAGAAAAATCGACCGTGATCTGAAAAAATAAATGCCACAATTTCGCAGGACGGTTAAACGTCGCTGATGTGAATGCTTGTATTGACAGGATACGGGATAAAAAAAAATATTGACGTCCGAAATAATCGCACGTGAAAAAACAGCCCCGGCAGTCCTGGTGTGAAAGGACCTTAATCCTAAATATTTGCTTTGTGGGTTTGATGTTGTTGATTTGGTTTCAGTGGATGTATCAGAAAGCCTGTCAGACCAGCTGAAGAAGCAGGAAGCTCTGATAGACCATCTGATGAGTGATCATGAAAAGGTGGGTGAGGTGCGAAAAAGTTCCTGTAACAGGCAGAAAAATCTGTCCAGAAAGGAACCCTTTATTCTTAAACTTCAGCACCAACGCTGACTACCTACTGTGACAGTCTAGTTCTGGTGTTGTTATGTGTCTTTCCAAAGCTGGAATCTTTGGAGGAGATGATTATAAACCCAGCTAGAACAGAGACAGCTTCAGGGAGTGTGGATCCAGATGGAAAAGTCTATCGTGAGCTAAAAGGGCAGATATCCTACATCAGGTAACAAAGAGGAGTTATAATATTTATCAATTAAAACAGTTAAAACTACAGTAAGTTGGAAAGGTGGCTGTTTACATTACATCCATGTGGAGGGTAAAACATCAAAAGACTATTCTTAAGGTTATTTATATTAAGTCTAATAATTTTAGCTCTTCTTAGATGTTTGAAATAAAGTGTAGTAAAATACAATTCCTTTATGTCTTAGCTTCACGAGTACAACATGTCGGTGCCTATCAAGGTGGTCTTTTGGCTTCACATTAAGGCTGGGCGATATGGCCTCAAGTCAATATCACGATATATTTAGCAGTTCACCTTGACAACGATAAATGGATGATAACTACTCCACCAGCTGCTCACCCCCTCCCATATTAACTTCATCTACTTCAGCCACCGCTCCAGCCACTACAACTTTTTAACCGTCCTCCACCGCCTCACCTGTCTTTCCCTCTTTGTTACGGACTTAAAGCGACATGAGACCATAACCCAACCACACACATTCAAAACCAACTTTTATTTATTTATTTTTTTGACACCAAATAAACAAGGGAAAAAATGACATCAGTTATTGTCATAAATTTCAGTATCAGTAAATTTTTGGTTTATCGCCCAGCCCTATTTCACATATCACAATGGGCAGAAATGAAGTAATGTGTCCATGCAATATACACTAAATAGTTGTCTCCATACACTTGAACTTTGATGATGTAGTTGAGGAGGTTTAAATATATGTTTTTACTTATTTAAGTTGAAAATATTGAGCCTTTCCATACTTTTTGCGTAGCTTTAGACTTCACTTGTGAGTGTTGAGATCAGTTCAGATGTTGGTCTGTCCTTTATGTTCATGGTATGCAGGAAGTTCCTGCAGAAGCTGGAGGCCGACATAAAGCAGCTGAAGGTTAAACAGGCTTTAACAGAGGAGAGCATGGCAGACCAACAGCGTCAGGATCAGGTCAGACAGGGAGACATGTCACTGAGGGTCAGGAGGCACACCAGGGGCTAACAGATATTATTAAAATGATTTAATCTGCACAACACATGAAGAAGTCTTCTGTTCCACAGAATCTCTGAAGTTCAACATAAAACTGTCTCCCACTTTTCTGTCTCTGCACTCAGGATGCAGAGCTGGTGAACAGCCTGCAGAGGGCGATCCTTCAGCTTCAAGCAGAGTGTGAAAAACTGCAAGAGACCACCAGGAGTCTGCAAGAGGACAACAGCCGGAGACTGAAGGATATCCAGGTTCAAACACAAACACACTCAATCTCCAGCATGTTTGTCACTCTCTGAATGACGACTACACATTCTTGATCCTAGACAGCTCAATCCTGTCAGTTTTTTACAACTATCCTCCCCTCAAATCAGCTGTTTTTATCATTCTTTTGTTTTGGTTTTGTTTCTTCTTTTTGTGCAGGAGCTGTTCAAGACAACAGAGGAGCTGCAGGAGAACAAAGCTGACAAGCTTTTGGTTGAGAGTGCAACTGTGAGTGGGTTTATTTTATATTTATGAATGTATGCAGAGGATTATCAGTCTTTACTGATGACTTACAGACAGAATCAATGAGTGTTAAGATATAAGACAGCCATAGAAGGTGCTTATGTACGGTGGTTGCTATGATTATTAAAAGACAGATGATTCTCAAAGTTCTCTCCATTTCTGCAGAAAACTGATCAATTGGCTCTGGACGGCAAAGTGAGCCGTGTGCAGTTTGACTCTGTGACAGAGGAGCTCAACACGCTCTTCCAAGAGCTGCTGAACAAGGTGACGGGCCAGGAGCAGAAATGGCACCAAGTCATCAGCAGACTGTCTTCTGAGATGGCGTGTAAGGTAAATGTCGGAGCGTTTAGGAAACAGGTTGATCTGCGGTTATTTTAGACACAATATCTAACTTGTAATCTGGCTTTAGCTGAACCGGATGGAGTTTGATCCGGTGAAGAAGCAGCTGGAGGACCGCTGGGAGAAAATCCACAAGAAGCTGCAGAATCAAGAAGCTCCAGAGTGTGACGATGCCGCTGCTCTAAAAACGTAGGTATTGACACCTCACTCACTCATTGACAGTAGAGCTGAACTGGCACTGTTAGACTTATTATAGGATTATATTATCTAATTTCTTATCTATCTATCATATCTTATCTATTATCTATCAGTTTCCTGTGAGGGCGAATTACTGTATGTTTCTTTGTGCTTATCTTTGGACCCCTTGTGGAAAGATTTCGCTGCCTGTCCTGTGACCGACGTGTCACCAAGAACTTCCTGGGACCGTGAGTCTGCTCTCAGTCACTGTTTATCACACAGATAGTCACAGTTTCAATGAGTTATGCTGCATTCCAGTTACCCTGGAAGTTGGATGTTGGAGCCAAGTTGACGGCATTCCAGTTCACAAGTCGGAAAACCAAGATGGATGCCTACAGTTAACCATTGTTGGCTGTTGTTAGCTATACCAGTTGTAAACAACGCATAAGACAGTATTTTACTCGTACAAACACCATAGCACTGTGTTTACAGTTGGGCAGTACATCATATACCACTTATTAAATTTAAAAAACAAAAAAACAAAAGTGCCAATAAAATAATACATTAAGAGAGCTTTCACTGTTACTCTCATGCACTGCGCTGCCATCTTGGATTATGACGTTGTCGTCAAGTCGGGGTTGGTTAGGATCGTCCGACTTTCTGAGTCGATCATCCAACTTCAGGGGGGTGTTCCAGATGAATTTCCGACTCAGAGCTTGGAAATTCTGACTTCCGGTCAAACTGGAACGCAGCATTAACTGAGAATGTTTCCCAGGTAAATGATATTTGCTGTTTGTCAACCCCCCTTGTTTTTGAATCTAATCTGCTCTTGGGTGTTTGTGTTGGGCTCTTTGTGGGAATCAAAGGAATTTGATGGAGCTGCCGATCTCTTCTGGTGAACCTTCCAATAAGGGAGACTGGCAATTTACATTGAACCCTCAGAAGACGTTTCAACAGCACAACAGAAGGTGAGATCAGCAGTTTATCTTCTGACTGAATCTACTCTGTTCTCTGTTCACCAGCAGGGGGCATAAAACAACTGAAAGAAATCCATTACAGGCCAAACAAACAGGAGAACAGGCAACAGGCAGAGTTTCTTTGGAAGGAATAATGTCATGTTAGTCTTTGAATTTCAGAGCATCAGTTAGTTTGTTCTCAGATTAGAGTCTGGGATTGGAATTTGAGTATTTTTGGCTGGATTCATTGCATGAGCTCTTCATAGACAGATGTTCATAGACACAGACTTTTATTTCCTGGGCCAATGCAATAGAAGGACATTTTTGTCATGAATCGTGTTGATACTTAACCATGTTAAGTATCAAATACCATCAGATGACACATCATATTTTGCCTTTTTTGATCTGCCTCTGTTTTCACAATCATCTCTGTGTCCTTTTCACTGCTCAGCTTGTGGCCGTGTGTGAATTAAGCATTCGTTTACGATCCCCTGACAGCTGTATAACACCCAAAAGCTTAAGAGACATGAAAGAAAACATACAGAGAAAGGATTCATAATGTGCAAAGCTTCATAAGTTGACTGATCAAATAAAATCAGTTCAGGAGAGACTCAGGTTAATTCAGTATGATCTTTACTTCTGTCTCCTTTTTGTCAGTCATTGGAGATTAGGGTGGGACCGTGGCCTGACACCCTGACAGAAAGGTTTTTAAAAAAGTAGGACGAAGTGGATGCTTAATTTAATACCTTTTCTAACTTTTGACAGTGGAAATGCAAAGTCAGGCTGAAAATTTCAGTTTTCTTTCTCAAAAATTTAGTGAGAACAGCCTCACTTATTTGACCAAAAAGGTCCTTAGATTTTATCGACACTCTCTGCAGATGAACACTCTTAGCTCGGTGTTTCATCCCAGTGAGTGCATATTGTTTTAAAAATGTGAAGCAACAGCTCTTGATCACTCTCCTGTAGTCTGTAAACAAACGTGCATCGCTTACAACAGTCAAAGTTCCACTATTTATTCTCACATTTTTTTTCTCTGACCACACAGCCTATATCTCTCTGGGCTGAAGGACTACACTTACCCACGGGTATCAAGGAGCTGTGGAGGGAAAGAGACCATCATAACCCGACCTATGTACTTCAGTAAACTGAGGAAAATAAGAGAAAGAACAGCCAGAGCATGGAAAAGTCTCCCTCCTAAGGTTTGTGTGAAATCAAAACTGGGGGATATCAAATGAGTACAACTGTCACATTTTTTCTAAAAAAGGGTAACTGCATCTTCAAGTTCTTCTCTTTTCTTAAAATTAGCATCTAAATCAAAACGAGATGTCCTGTTTATTGCGTATACATTTTGCTAATCCCGCTCGCAACAGTTGCTAGCCTAGCATTTGATGTTCAAACATGGTAATTTCTTGATTCATATTTTCAGGATTATGTGGGTGAAAATGTTTTACCGGGAAATTTGGAAGTACAGTTTAAATGAACACAAGGTACAAAGAGAAGTCTCTATGAAAGAGCGGAGCCTTGAACTTCTGAGAAAAAAAATATCACCTGGTAAGAGCCCCCAAAAATAAGGTAAATAAAAGCTGAAGTGAAATAAAACAAAGAAAAATCAGCCAGTTTTTGTGAAATCCTCAGGCATGGTTGTGACACGGGCTGTAATTCACTGATACCTTAAAGTCTGATTTCAAACGAAGAAGAAACGTCAGCGTGGATTTCCAGAACAGTCGTTAATCCCCTCTGCAGGAAGCTCGCTCATTAAACACAGCAGGGAACAGATCCAAAACAAATCTGCTAATTCAAACATTCGCTCCGACTTGTCTACAGGCTGCTGCAGAGTTTGAGTCAAAGACACATCATGATACCGCGATAGAAATGACTGTTTGACTCATGGCAGTTCATTTGAAACTGATTTACTGGGCCATACCGCTGGTTTGACTTATTTTGAAATGCTCCCTTAAAGTCACACAGCCTTACACTTTTCTCCTCAAACTTATGAATGTGTGACTACTATTTATCAACAGTTCCTGGATTGTGTTGTCCATTACCGTCAACAGCAAACACACAAACATGGAGAGCTTATGTTAGGGATAAATTAAAGCAAACAGGTTACTATAGCTGATCTGAATCAAAGTAAAAGGAACCCTGATGTGAAATAGTTCTACCCATTGAAATAATCCATTACATTCATAGTTGGATGTGCTTAGGTAACTTAAACATCTGATAAATGGAGGTTTTAAAAGTGAGATTTTGCGTATTTAACTCGTCTAAGCTTTGGTGTTTTTGCTGTTGCTGTGACAAACAAAGGAGAAGTAGACTTCGTGAGGAGATTCTTTCACTGTTTTCTCTCATTTTACAGATCAAACACGAAATTGAGGAATCTACTTTGAGCCTTGGAGCTGATGGAATCCTAATGAAAGAAGAACTTAATTGATCCCTCGAAGGAAATTAAATATCACTGCACATGAAAAATGGCTGATCAATTAAAACAAACAACCCAAAAAACATGTCTCGTTTTTCTGAGTGAGTTCAGACTAAGGTATAACATATACATGAAATGATGAATGAGCTGTGGTACAAGAGGATAAAGATAGAGGGGGATGGAGCAGAGTGATTTAAAACCTCCAAAATCCAAAGGTGTGCAGTGAAACTAAAAGCCTTGTGTCTTTCAGGCAAAATACTTCACGCTTTAAGATTCAACGGGACGGTTAACGTCCTCCATCTAGTTGTAGTTCAGTTGAAATTTTGCCTTCATCACTTGGGGAAACTTGGTCTCACAGGCAAAGATAGAGATATTAACGTCCCTGCACATCTCTTGTTAATATAAAAGGTCCATTTAGGGTCAGAAAAATGAATTGATGTCTATATTCAGGTGGTTATACGCTAATTTAACCATTTCTATGAATATAATGTTCTATTTCTGCCTTGTGCATCTTACTAATTAACACTAAATTATATGCACTGTACCTTTAAAGTTCCCTTAATCAGTAAATTGATACACAGAAGATGGCTAAGTCAGAGCTTGATAATGCAGAACTTTAGCCCTCTCGTCTCTAGAGACCATGCAGGATGACAATGATGATGATGATGATAATAATAATAATAATAATACTCGAATAAACAGTTCCCTCCTGCTTCTCAATTGCCAAACTGCAGCTCTTTCAGCATCCACAGAGGGGCAGTGTTGCTCTGTCTAAACCAACAGCTAAGGCGAAATATGGTACAAACCTGACTGATGGGAATTTAAATGTTTTCTGCTTCTGTGTCCACATATTCCAAAAATTTCATGTATGCTAGGCACTAGTGAGTCCTCTACAGAAAAATGAAATTAATTTACAAAATGACTTGAATCTGGTTATACTGACAATAACAAAACAAGTTAAAGACAAGGAAGACTGTAGCATGCAATTAAAAGACACATGTTGGCAGTGCATCATGACTGTTGAATTTTGTCCAAACCAACTATTGAATGTGAAGCTTAGCCCTTTTTTCTTTCTTTTTCTTTTTTTTTTTCACAAAATAACCGAATCCGTCCCTGTAAATCAAACGTCCCCTGAACACACAGTGTCTGGTCTCTAAATGTGCTATCATCTTGTTAACTCAACTCTGACACATCAATTATGAAGGTACAACTTTTCCAGATGGCTGGTATCACATAGTGCACAAAAACTGTTGAGCAGACAGATGTGAAGCAGACTCGGTCCCCGGCCTTCACATCGGACCCCCTCCCAGGAGAGAGTGGATAATAAATGCGGACAGACCCAGCCTGTCCTCGCTCCCTGCGGCTGAGTCGCTGAATCAGCTCGGTTAGTAGCACAATTATGAGTTTCCATGTGACATTTGACAAACGTTAACCTTCTCTCTGACTACAAGGGTACTGTCAGGCTGGCCAAAGTTGTTAGCACGGCAGTACCTCTGTGACAAAACCCAGTGAGTCACAGCGACCCCCCTGCTGTGGTGACGAATCCTCCCATGACACATGGGGGTGACTCGCCTTCTTTCCTATAGGCTCTGTCGTGGCTCCAGCACACAGCCCATCGTATTATATAAAAGTTTGAATCTAAGAAGCCCAGTGCTTTTGAGATATGTTTCTAATTTTGATTGAAGTTGATGTTGTGAACCCAAATTTACGATTCAAAAATGTAGTCCGACCAAGTTATCTGATTGAGTGTTAGGTTAAGTATGAGAGAACTGTCTGTACTCTCTTTCACATGCTCTGAATGATGTCTGTAATACTGTGATAATACAGCACCCTTTCTTTGCTCCAGATATACACTCACCGGCCACTTTATTAGGTACACCATGCTAGTAACGGGTTGGACCCCCTTTTGCCTTCAGAACTGCCTCAATTCTTCGTGGCATAGATTCAACAAGGTGCTGGAAGCATTCCTCAGAGAGCTTGGTCCATATTGACATGATGGCATCACACAGTTGCCGCAGATTTGTCGGCTGCACATCCATGATGCGAATCTCCCGTTCCACCACATCCCAAAGATGCTCTATTGGATTGAGATCTGGTGACTGTGGAGGCCATTTGAGTACAGTGAACTCATTGTCATGTTCAAGAAACCAGTCTGAGATGATTCCAGCTTTATGACATGGCGCATTATCCTGCTGAAAGTAGCCATCAGAAGTTGGGTACATTGTGGTCATAAAGGGATGGACATGGTCAGCAACAATACTCAGGTAGGCTGTGGCGTTGCAACAATGCTCAATTGGTACCAAGGGGCCCAAAGAGTGCCAAGAAAATATTCCCCACCCACACCATGACACCACCACCACCAGCCTGAACCGTTGATACAAGGCAGGATGGATCCATGCTTTCATGTTGTTGACGCCAAATTCTGACCCTACCATCCGAATGTCGCAGCAGAAATCGAGACTCATCAGACCAGGCAACGTTTTTCTAATCTTCTATTGTCCAATTTCGATGAGCTTATGCAAATTGTAGCCTCAGTTTCCTGTTCTTAGCTGAAAGGAGTGGCACCCAGCGTGGTCTTCTGCTGCTGTAGCACATCTGCCTCAAAGTTCGACGTACTGTGCGTTCAGAGATGCTCTTCTGCCTACCTTGGTTGTAACGGGTGGTTATTTGAGTCACTGTTGCCTTTCTATCAGCTCGAACCAGTCTGGCCATTCTCCTCTGACCTCTGGCATCAACAAGGCATTTCCGCCCACAGAACTGCCGCTCACTGGATATTTTTTCTTTTTCGGACCAATTAGAAATTAAGTGTTAACGAGCAGTTGGACAGGTGTACCTAATAAAGTGGCCGGTGAGTGTAGATTATAACAGAAAAATCTGTTCTTCCTTGTTTCTTCCAAATGTTGCTTGTGTAGCATTGTCAATAATATTATATTTAATGATAATTTTTCTTTATTTTTCAGAGTCGTCTTATTTTTTGCCAGTGCAGTGGACACCCTCAGCTGGGCTGCCACAGATTTGAGCAGTGCTATGGAGCCTGTGGAGCTGGGGCGGGCTGACATAAACTGAACTGGCTTCTCCAGGAATTTGGTGGGTTTTAATTTTCACTGAGTACACAATCATGGTGAGAAGAAATAAAAGTTACTAACATTAAATTGTAAATTGATTTGACACATATTGTATCCTAGTTTTGCGCAGTAGTGGTCAACCAATATGGGTTTTTTCAATGGTCGATACCAATGCCGATATTTGCTGCAAGTCGATATGTAATGCTGATATCACATTGTTGTTTTTTTGCATTTTATAAATAATGCAAATTTACAATAATACATTAAAATCCAACATGCAGGGTTATCTTAGCCATAAACATATTTTAGATGGATTTTAAATGAATACATGAAATGGGCCATTGCATAGAGGTCAGAATATTAATGCCAGAGGTGCATTCAACTCCATTATTCTTCAAATCATAATAAAAGCCCCATGAGCCCCAGATATCTGCTGATCCTCATTAGTTCAAAGTGCTTTCAGCTGGTCTGTCTCTGTTGCAGTCTGTCTCAGCACTTCTGCCATACCTAGTTGGAGAGACATGTTGCTACAGGAAATTACTTAGAAGTTTCTCAGCACTAACCAGACTGCACAAAGTTTTACGAAGCTACTTTCGGATTTTCACTTACAGTATGATCTTCACACTCTAAAAACCCCTTGTTGTTTGGGTTCTTTTTAACCCAACACCAGTGTTGAAAAGTGATCGACTACTTATTGGGTTATTTTGACCCAGAATGTTGGGTTGTTCAAATTAACCCAAATTTCGGGTTGACTCAATAACCCTTTTTAAGGCTCAAGTTAACCCAGTGTTTGAGTTAATTTGGCTCATGATCTTGGGTTAAGTTGATATATGCATTTAGGGAGCTTTTTTGGGAGCTTTGCTTTTACATCCTCTACCTTATTTTCCGATGTACTTTTATCGACTGATTGTAGGCCATAGCGCTAAGGGTCTTGCCTAAGGACCTAAGGATAGAACTATCTATCTATCTATCTATCTATCTATCTATCTATCTATCTATCTATCTATCTATCTATATATATATATATATATATATATATACACACACACATATGTATGTATTTGTAACCCATATATATTGGAACACATTATATAACCCATAAAAAAAAAAAAAAAACTAAAATTGGGTTACAATAGAATCGATATGATCAAAGAAATGGGTACGGATCTGAAATATAACTCAGAAATTAACCCAAGAGTTTTTAGAGGGAACAAGTGTGTTCAAGTTAGAACCCACAGGAATCTGAATCGTATACAACCCATTAGCCTCTTGCTAACATGTTTGTTGATTGTTTTGGTGCATATATTTGTCAGAACAGTCGATTCTTGCCCATTGCTTGCAGACTGGTAGAAAAAGAGTCGTCCAGTTGAATCACAACTGAGCTATAATCAGTGCTCAACTTAAATGCATATAATGCTGCGTTCCAGTTACCTTGGAAGTCGGATGTCAGAGCTGGGAATGACGTTCCAGACGAGTTGATGACGTTCCAGTAAACAAGTCAGAAAACCAAGATGGATGCCCACTGTCAGCCATTGTTAGCTGTTGTTAACAATTGTCAGCTGTTGTTAACAATTGTCAGTTGTTGTTAGCTGTTGTCAGCTGTTGTTAGTTGTTGTTAGCTATACCAGTTGTAAACAACTCATAACACATTTTACTCTTACAAACACCATAGCACCCAGTTCACAGTTAGACGTTGGGCAACACAACATATACCACTTATTTAATTTCACAAAAACGAAACAGAAGTGCTAAAAAATAATACATTACGAGATCTCTCATTATTACTCTTTACTGTGGATGCGCTGCGCTGCCATCTTGGGATAAGACCTTGTCATCAAGTTGGGGTTGGTGAGGATCTTCCGACTTTCCGAGTCGGAAATCCAACTCCAGGGGGGCGTTTCAGGTGAATTTCCGACTCGGAGCCCTGAAATCCCGACTTCCAACTACAACTGGAATGCAGCATAAATGTACTAAATCAGAGAACATTTGTTACATACAGCCGATAGCTTCGACAGCAGTATGTTCTTCTTGCCATATTTTGGAATGCTAACAAAGTTCCCGATATCAATGACAGAAAGGAACTGAACGTGAATGCTTTTACCTGGTTCAATACAATCCCTGTGTGAGACAGTAAAAATAAAGAGGCTTTCATCTGGTGAGTGTTTAAGGGTTACATCTCTACTGCTTAATGTTTCATTTAGCAGCTATATGCATAATTAAGAGATCCATGTAGCATTTTTGAAGGTTACCTCGGCCACTCTGCAAAAGGAATGATAAATGTTCGTGTTTTACTTCTTATCAGCAGAAAGTCAGAAGTTTTGTTTTGATGACTGAAAATCTAGTTTGTCAAATGTTTTCAGCATCTGGTGTGTTGGTGGAAGACACCCTTTTAATCTCATTTACAAATCTGCACGCTTGACAAACATTTCCTCAAATACTCATAAATGGCGCAGTGTCGATTCCAAATCTGTTCTGACATCCAGTCAAACAAAATTTAGGCCACAACTGGTCACACTATCTCATGCAGTTAAACCGAGTGAAATATCAAATATTGAACAGAGTGTCTGAGCACTGTTAGGATGAATTTTTCTGCTGCTTTGGTAATCTCTTAAAGTGTATATTTCCCACAATCACAGTGATTTTCTTGGGCTGTCAAGACAGTTGTCTCCATGTTTAATTAAGTGGAGTCCCACAGGAGTCTGGCTAAATGTTGTGAGCCACATCAGTAAGTGTGATGATTATTCTTGTCCAGTCATGCTTGCTCAGACATGGTTTCATCTCTGCTGTAGGTGTCAGTTTGAATCAGTGTCAATTCGCCGTAGCAGCCTCTTTTAGCAGGACGAGAGGAGGATATCCTCTTTTGCACCCTTCAACTCTCTCCCTCTTTTACTTGCTCCATCCCCCTCCGTCTTCATCCTCTTGTACCGCAGCTCATTCGTCATTTCTCGTATCCTTGTCCTCACTCTACCTTTTTTGCAGTCAACCAAACATGCCACCCTATTTCTATCGATTATTTCCTCACCTGTTTCACCCCTATTTCCTTGGTTTCATCTCTCTTTCCTATTTGTTCTTCTTCAAAATCCTTAATTACCCAGGCAGGGTTTTTGCATGGCTGCACAACCTCCACTTTCTAAGCCTCCTCTAATTTCTCTCTTCGTCTCCTTCTTGGACTTTCACGACCTTTTTTCTTAACCTCTATCATTTTCCATCATTCATTTTGCTTTCTGGCAGTAATGGGCTTCGACTTTACAGCTATTATGGAGTTCTCTATTGAGTTCTTAGCAGATAACTTTAGGGAAGCGCGCTCATGCAAAGTAAAGGCATTTTAAAAACGACCACTGTTTTTGCACTTCACTGGGTTTGCGTTTGCCACTTTTATTGTTTTGCTGCACTGTCAAATCCAGATGATACATTTCTGAGTTACGTATGAGTTACCATACTCTTCTATTTTTTTCCAGCACAGATACTATAACAGTATGTCAGTATCTTCTCTTTTGGACCACCTCTTTCTCCTTCCCCCTGCATCCCCCTCTTACTTGTCAGCTCTGTCCACAGGCACTCGGCTGGGGACGCGTCCAACCAGCTGGCTGAGTTCACCGTTTAGGAGTAACTCAGGTCAACAGCTGTTGTGTGTTTCATGTCTTTGTCCAGCCAGGTCCAGGATAACTGCCATGTCCTTGCATAAATACATAGATGCATAAATACATAGAGAGACATGTGACCTGTCCTCGAGACCTTCTGCCACATCACTCACCGATTGGAGACATTTCCTGGAACGCCCTTGGGCTGTCCCATCTGGACAAAGTGTTTGTGTGTGTGCCTGGGCCTGCATGTGTGTGCACATGTGCCAGTGACAACCTTTTTGTGCCTGTGCATCCGTTTCTCTTTGAACCTGGACTGGCTGTAATTTTGATCACAAAACTATTTAAAGCAGGAAAACCTCGAAATATCTTGAGGCCAGTCAACCTTGAAGGCTAATAAATGTTTTTTCTTAAGCTTATAAATAAACCAGGTCTCTCAGTGGTCCTGGAATAATAAACAAACGTATGATAAAATGTGTGTAATGCTACGTTTAAGTTCGTTGTTTCTTCACAGTAACAACTGTGCTATTTCCAGCCTGAAACCTCTTTTTGGATTGGCTTGTTTTAATGATGGTTTGGGTGACTGATAATGGACTCCTGCACTAGCTGTGTTTACATGGGCACAAATAATGGGAATAAATGCCCTATGGGAATAAAAATGTGTCAAGTAAACATGACGATTGGAAGATTCTGATCCATTTCGGCTCAATCGGAAAGAAACTGTATTCCGATCAAGAGGGGTGATTTATGCCGATCATTATTCCAAAACACGTCAATGTAAACGTTTATTCCGATCGTGACTCTCTAACCTGACTTGGTCTTTACTCTTTAGCCTTTAGTTTATTTATTGAGGTCAGTACAGAAGGTTTAATTATCAACACTGGCACAAAAACACAACCGCAGAAGCTGTGTCTGCATAACAAGGCGTACATACAGCGTAATGATGTCACATCAGCACGCACAGTGGAACCTTTGACAGAACAGTAAAACAAGTAAGCAAGGGCGCCATCTAGTGAAAACATTTAACACGGGGGGAGAACTCCTGAATTGGATGGAGTGAGCCACTACTTTGTTGTTTTTTTGACAGCACAGGTGTAAATACAACTCTTCTTCAGCGGTTGTTTTAGCAAAACTGGACAACTCTGCGCATGTCGATTTTGTGGCCATATAAACAGTGGATTCAGGTTGTCCGATCCCTTGAATTTTCGATCGGATCAAGAGATTTTGCGTGTGCAAAATACAGCATATTGGTGACTTAGTACTTTTCGAAGGAAGCTCTAATTTAAGGCTGGGTGATAAATGAATCTCCTCAGTGACTATATATTTGTAGTTTAGGACAGTTTATGAAGATTGGTTCCTGAAAAAAAGGCACTGTGCCAGTCTTTTTAATGGTCTGGAACTGCTTTGGCTTTACAAACCTTGGATTAACCACAATCCCTCTGCAAAGTTTGCAGTTTTAATTAAGGCAGCTGCATTATTTACTAATCCCAATATCTTAAACAGAGTGCTGCAACCAAGTGGAGGAAATGTGTCTCACTATGAGATGCACAGGATCTCTTCAGTCAACAAGCACAAGTATTTTCTCAGGTTGCCCAGCCTCAGTTGTACAACTTAACCTGAAGAACAATCACTAGAGACCAGGACCAGACTCTTACATAAGTTTGACATTTGGTGTTTCAATTAATTATTTGATTAGCTTGAAAATGGGATAGTCAGTTCAAACAAGGAATTATGGCCAAACTAATTTTGGGTCTTACATAACAGCATCCAACGTTATTTAAAATTAGTTTTATCCATAATTCAAATTTTTAAAGGGCTATTACTCAAATAGGTTGAAGAAAACTTTTGTATGGAGTCCCAAAGTTAATTACACAATTAAAGGGTCATAGTTGAGGTTGTTGAACTATTGAGCTTTATTGTCTACTCTTGCCCATTTTCCAGTGCCAGAATGAAGTGTCGACCATTCCTCAAATATTTTTGGCAGTCAGTTTTGAGTTGTGCAGTTGTCTGGCTTAAGCAGGTAAAATTTGGCCTTATTTTGTACACCACTTAGATAAGAAAACAATATAAACTAAGCAAATGGGTTATGTGACCTAATTTGGATCTAAGCTTTGTTACTAGAAAAAGAAAATAAAAAAGGTTTAAGAAGATGAAAACATCCAAAAATCATTGTAACCATGCAATCACTGGACAGGAAATCACTTTAGTGCATCTATTGTCACACAAATGCACATTTACATGAATCAATTAAGGTGCTGTATCAGCTACAGAGTCGGTGTTGCAGTTGATTTGGGACTGCAAACTCATTTTGTCCCTCATTAGAGGAGTGTGTAGTTGTACAGCCGTGGTGTCTGGGTCTGCAGGGACCTGATCCGGCGCCTGCAGACCTGTAAGAGAGAGAGAGGAGGCGAGAAAGGGGAGGAAAGAGGGAAGTAAAACAACACTTACTCACTGTTAGCTGAGGGTTGAATGGTCGTCTAAGGACACTGATTGTGACGACAGTTAACCCGTTTAAAGTGAGCATAATGAATGTGTCTTTTCACCCTTCTAACCAAACACAAACACATTTTTAAACAGTCACCTTAAGACGTTGTTTCATGACAATTTCAGTCATGTTTGCATAAAGGAGAATTGCTTGATTGAGGCCAAGATACAGCTCACTAAAATTGAAACAAGAAGACTGAAATTTCTCAGCAGTTCTGGTTCTTGCTCATTATTTTGCATTTCTCACATTTACCACTTGATGGCACCATATCAGAAGAGTTGTAATGGCAGTAATTGCAGTGAAACAAGCTTGTGTTTGTCTAATTTAAGATTAGTTTTTCACAAAAAGACAATCTAATATAACAGCAGTGTTTTTGTGTTAGTTATACATCAAATCACTTTTTCAAATTTCATTCCAAGAACTATGTAAGGTGACTGTCCTCCTGCATGCACATCATGTTCTCCCTGATTTAGTGCTGTAACTACCACTGTTACTACAAAGTGCAGCCTACGGGGAAAAGGTGTGACACATGAGCCTCCACTTCAATACATCAGATAAGTGCACTCGAGAGTGTTAGCTGTGGAGATGCTTTATTTGTTAGAGTGTAGAGGAGGGTGCGCCGCGGGAAGAGATAATCTCCTGTTAGAAGACAATGTGCATCACCAGAGAGATGGAGAGAAATGACGGTCCAAAGTCCAGAGGAGGAAGACATAACTGATGTGAAAGCTGCTTTTTTTCTGGTAGAAAAAATATATATGTATCTTTATCCAAATGAAACAATCACAGTTTAATGCAATCTAATACTTATAATGGAGCATAAAATTGAAGGGGTGTCAGAGAGGGGTCTTACGGTGGCCTTTACCCCCCTGATCCAAATTAGCCATCTCATTTTTTACTCAAACCTGCTGACTGTGTATTAAAAATCTTACCTGGCTTACTGAATTCTCCAGACAACTCTTCTGCTCTATCCTAAGACCTTCCTCCACCCCCCCTAAAGAGCATATACTGTTGCCAAAGAGGCACATTATTTTCTATCAAACAGGAAGTAGTATTTTGAAGGGCTTCAATTACTTGTAGAGTCACCAAATTTAGTGCACAGGACCCCCAGTGGCACAGTTGTTTGATAAATGTGTAGTTAGTGGGTGTGGCCTAAATTATGCAATCAACCATGCCCTCATCATTCAGGATTGAAAGTTGACTTCTTTTCAAAATGATGATTAAAACTTTTTTAGTAGTAAAGCTAAAAATGCGAGTTAATTTCTGGAAAAAAAGGCAGAGGTAGAGCCAAAGCAGCTGCAACAAGCTTAGTGCAACTGAGCAATAGACGGCGATTAGACATCCAGTGTTTTTTTTAGACCAAATTTCAACCAATTAAATTCTGTATATGTTTAGACGTTGCAATTTGACCCATTATTCAATACCTATTTATTCCAAAAAGCAACTCTGAGTTGCATAACTGATCTCCAACTACTTAACCGAAATAATTATGATAGCCATTGAGCAACATACAGTGTAGTATAGATATAGCCCAGATTTAGACTTGGTCTAAACTTGGTCTAAATTTAGATGTCTAAAAAACTTTCATTTTTAGACCTGTGGTAGCCTGATTTTAGACCAGTCGTCTATTCATTTGATTCTTATCCACATAAGCCTGATAACAAATGCAGCTAAAAATAGCAGGACCAAGGAAGATAAACTTTATGTCAAAAAAGCCCAGAAAAGCTTTGTTATAGTTAGTTTCACAGTCAAATAAAAGGTTATCTTGAGATATCAACTCTAACGGCTAAAGTGTTTAAATTAAACTTGTCTTTTTGTATAATAGCACCCTATGAGGCTGTTTGCTCAACTGCCACTTTATGTAGACGGCTGAAGGGAGCAGCTGGTGGAGCATCACATCTCTGACAGAAAGAAGATACCAGCAGTGAGCAGAAACAGTGGACAGATTCTGGGACATTTCAGAGAGAAATGGGATGTTCAGCCAGCTGGCAGTTCTCGTGAAAGTGATTCCCTGTGCCCCATAAATGTCCCCCCAGAGACAACTATCACAAAATCTAAAGACATGTCACCAAAAATAGTATCCACAGCAGGGCCCACTTTTTTTTCTTTTGTCCTGCTAGACCGAGTTATGACACACTGGCTGCAAAAACACTCTGAATCAGACAGCTGCCAGGTCTGATACCTGTGTTATAACCGTGAATTTGGGAAATACTAACCCTAGCACCCTTGTTTTTTTATTGATAAGATTGTATGAATCTTGATGGCAGAGTTACTGTTTGTACATAAAAGTAACAGCTAACAAAAAACAGTGTGCTACTTTTGAAAATGTATTTTTCCATGCACAAACCATGCACCGCAGGCCTCATAAAATAAACAGTCCTTTCCTTCACAAACATGAGCTGAAGAGAGGTAAATAAAGACATATCGCATTGTCTGTCTCTCAATTCTGGCTTTTTGTGAGCTGTTATTAGCAGCTTTTCTCCCCTCTATGAGCGATAGTTTGAGTGGGAGTTTGAGCTGCTGTCTCGGTTACAATAAATATTTCTCTCATACCAACCTGTCAAAACTGTTGAACAATCACAAAAACAAACCTCCAGCTCAATACGGGAGAATAAAACTCTCAAACCTACCCCTGAAAACCCACACGTATCAGTGTCAATGAAATGAGTCTTTGGTATTATTGGTATTCTTACCTCCTTATCACATATAATGCTGAGATTTTATGCTCTTCCTGTGCTATTATTTACCGCTATTAAGCAGTA